TTGGGCATTGTGGATTTTGAAACCAACGGCCCGTGGACGCTGAGGGACAACTGTTGTTACATTTGGAGGAGTCTAAAGTTACATGCAGTGTTTCGGCTGTGGGGTGGCCAGCACCCCTAGCTCCTGCATTGTTCAAGGGTCAGCTGTACATCCAGAAGCAGCTAGCCTGACAGACTTTTAGAATAGCCTATTACAATTTCAGCTAAAATACCATGTGGGGAATAACATTGTACACAAGGGACACTGTCCCCAAGGCAGACTGTATGCATTAAACCAATGATTTTGGATCTGTGTCCCCAGGATCTAGAACACCTGGGTCCTCAACACTGTACAACCTTTCAAGCACCACAAAATCCAGACCCATACTGTGCCAGCTGGTGCAGGCATTAAAAGTTGCTAGATCATACCCTTTTCCTCCTAATCCTCGGCTCCTCAAGCTACCTTCCAACTTTTCTCTATGTTAGCTAAGCTGTAGACAGCTGGTAACCACTGTTCTCATCCACCCAAGAGAATGACTCCGAGGCTCTGATGAGGCTCATACAAGAAAAGTGCTGTCCCGTCAATCTTGCCCACCCCCACCCCGAATTCCTATGACTCTGTTCCCAAGTTCCATGTCTGATGTTTTTGGAGCAAACTTTACTTCTGAACTCTCTTTTCCCTTTTCCTCCCTCCTTTCCTCCTTCCTTTTTGCCTTCTTTCCTTCAGGCCCTGCCAAGATGCATATAATTAAGGAAAATCTAAGTAATCATGGAATCATGACAAAAGGAAAATATAGGTAGAAGAATAAAATATTAGCATACAGAAAAGGTGACATTGTGATGAGCTGAATCATGCTCCTCTCTCCCCAAAAAGATGTTGAAGTCCTAACCCCAGGATTGAGAATGTGACCTTATTTGGAAATACGATTTTTGCAGATGTAATCAAATTAAGATGAGGTCATCAGGGTAGGGCTTCATCTAGTATGACTGGTGTCTTCGTAAGAAGAGGGAAATGGCCCTGGCTGGCATAGCTCAGTGGATTGAGCATGGGCTGTGAACCAAAGCATCGCGCAGGTTTGATTCCCAGTCAGGGCACATGCCTGCAACCCAGGCCACGGCCCCCAGCAACCGCACATTGATGTTTCTTTCTCTCTCTCCCTCTCTCTCTCTTTCTCCCTCCCTTCCCTCTCTAGAAATAAATAAATAAAATCTTTAAAAGATTTAAAATTTTCAATTAAAAAAAAAAGAAGAGGGAAATGCAGGCACTGACACACAAGGAGCGTGCTGTGTGACAACAGAGGCAGAGGCTGCAGGAACGCATCTCCAAGCCAGGAACTGCTGGCCACCGCCAAAAGCTAGGGAGAGGCCAGGAAAGACTTCCCCCTACAGATTTCAGCGGGAGCATGGCCCTGCTGACACATCTGTTTTGAACTTCTAACCTCCAGAACGGTGAGTGAGTAATCTTCTACTGCTTTGAGCCACAAAGTGTGTGGTGCTTGGCTACAGCAGCCCTAGGAAACTAATAGAGTGGGCATCCCATATCTGACTCTCAGCTTTCCCAGCAATTAAAGCAAGGAAGCCATCCGCTCCACAGTGCCCACGGGATGAAATGATCCCGTTTATTCAGGGGACGCAGAGCTTTTCATCACTCGAGACCAGAGAATGGTCTCCTCTGGGTAAGAAAAAAACACTGTGGGAATAGGTGGGAAACAGCAGTGAACAACATCAGGACACTAGCTCTGATAATAAATTTTATTCAGCTCTTTCCTGCAAAGTGCCTCACTGAAGGCAGAGGACATAACCCCCAAGGGACAGCTCATTAAAAGCACATCTAACAGCCAGAGATGGCTATTATCAACAAGACAGGTGATGACAAGTGCTGGAGAACTTGTGGAGAAAAAGAAACCCTTGTTCACTGCTGGTGGGAACGTAAACTGGTCCAGGCACTATGGACAACAATATGGAGGCTTCTCAAAAAATTAAGAATAAAGTTACCAAATGACCCAGAAACCCCTCTTCTGGGTACCTTCCTGGAAAAAATTGAAAACATTTATTCACAAAGATATACGCACACTTATATTCACTGCAGCATTATTCACAGTTGCCAAGACATGGAAACAACCAAAGTGTCCTTTGATAGATGACTAGATACAGAAGACGTGGCACATACACACTATGGGATACTGCTCGGCCATGAGACAGATGAAATACAGCCAATTGCGACAACATGGATGGATCTTGAGAATACCATGCTAAGCCAAGTCCGTCAGTCAGAAAAAGCTAAGAACCATATGATGTCACTTGTATGTGGGACAAAACTGAAACTCACAGACACAGACAACAGTATGGTGGTTACCAGAGGGAACGGGGTGAGTGGGGTAGGGTTAGGGGACCAAATATATGGTGAGGGAAATGGTTTGACTTTGAGTGGTGGGCACACAGTGCAACACACAGATTATCATGGAAGTATATACTTGAAACCTATAAAATTTTAGTAACTCATGTCACTCCAATAAATTTAATTTAAAAATTTTTAATTAAAAAATAAAAAACCCAGAAATGAAAGAAGAGACATTATTATCAACCTTACAGAAATCAAAAGGATTATAAAGGAATGCTATGCACAACTATATATTAACATATTAGATAACTTGGATGATTATGGACAAATTCCTAGAAAGATACAAACTACCAAAACTGGCTGAAGAAGAAATAGACAATTTGAACATAACTATAACAAATAAAGATGTTGAATTAGTAATTTAAAAAACTACCCACAAAGAAAAGCCTAGGCCCAGGTTGCTTCACTGTTAAATTCTACCAAACATTTGAGGAAGAAGTAATACCAAGTCTTCACAAATTCCCAAAAACAGAAGAGGAAGGAATACTTCTCAACTCATTTGATGAAGGTAGTCTTACTCTGACACCAAAACCAGACAAAAGCATCACAAGAAAACTACAGACCAAAAGCACATAGTGTGCCAAAAGAGTGTGGTCCAAGTATGCTGCTCTGTAATTTCATGTTTTTGACGTAATTTCCATAAATAGTTTTCTCAAACTGGGTTTTTGGTAAGAATTAGACAGCAGATTCCGAAGATATAACCTCTGGCAAGAAGCTGGAGAGTAAATATTCTGCACTTACCAATAAAATGCATGCTCTCATGCTTTGCCAGCTTCCCAGGGATAGGATAGAAATGAGGTCTTCTTATGAAAATTAAATGTTATTTATAGTTAAGTGCATGATGAAAGTTAGGGGAACTGCCACTACCAAAATACAGAGTAAAAAGTGTTTTTTTTTTTTGCTGAAAGTTAAACAAAGAATGTGGGGAAGAAAAAAAAGCTATCAGATATTTGAGAAGTATTTTATAATTTGATTTAAAAGTTAATATAAAACAACAAGGAAGAGAATCTGGATTATAAGCATTGACTCAAACACAGAAAAGTCAGGCTCCTTTTCGCTGGACTTTAAAAATAAATCCAAAACACACCCTCTTAGGATAATAAACATTTTAGGAATCCAAATCCTACCCCTTTTAGGTCTTGGTTAAATGCTGCCACCTTCAAAAAAGTGTAGCTGTTCTCAGTTTGGTGTGGCACTACAGTGTTTCTTCTTACATCATTTTTCACTTTCTTCTTGGAGTTGTATTTGTCTATTGTACTTAAGTGTAATCTTCTTGAGGTTAGGAATGATCTCTTGAATCTCTAGATTCTTCTTCAGATTTAAGGTAGTGCTTTGTCCATAACCAGCATTTAACTAAAAACTGTCTTATGAACTAATGAAAATACCATGTATCTCATTACATGGTCAGTTTAAAGCCAAATGGATGTTTAAGGTACTCACAGTAAAAAGTCTCTCATTAAGTCCTGGCTGGTGTGGCTCAGTGGACTGAGCACCAGTCTGCGAACCAAAGGGTCACAGGTTCAATTCCCAGTCAGGGCACATGCCTGTGTTATGAGCCAAGTCCCCAGTAGGGGGCTCATGAGAGGAAACCACACATTAGTGTTTCTCCCTCTTTCTCCCTCCCTTCTCCTCTGTCTAAAAATAGTTTAAATAAAATCTTTTTTTAAAAAAGAACAACATAATTTTTAAAATCTCTCATTAAAAGGATTACCAGATACAACAAACTTTAAACATCTGTTTATGAATTAAACCATGAATAAGAGATGTCTTTAACTTAATTCACTTTTATTGCTTTTCTTTCAATCAGATGTCCACAGCCATCAATGTTCTCTTGGATGAGAAGAAACACATTGACCTAATAGTTAACCACGTTAAAAAATTAACCCTTTGAAGACACCCAACCAGTTTCTTCTTCTGAAACCTTTCTCGGAATGGTAAAGTGAGAACTCCTTTAATGGACTTTGAATCTTTACTTTCTAGAAAAGATGAGGTTAAAAAAAAAAATGCCCTGAACCAAAGCAGGGAAATTGGATTACATTATTGTAACCAGTATTCCCTGTCCTTTTAAGGGGATTATACCATCTCTGCCCATTGTCATATGATTTTACAAGGCTCCCTTATGAGAGGAGCACACTTCCAGCCCCATGGACAGCAGGCTTTGTCATGTGACTTGTTTTGGCCAATAGAATGTGAGCAGAATTGAGGTACACAGAATGTGAGCTGTTTCAAAAGCAGCATGTGACAGTGGTGAGAGCTGATTGTTACATTTCCAGAAACTTGGCAAGACACTTGTTAATCTGTTTTTTTGCTAAACATCATTTGCTATTATAGAAATAGCAAATACTACAACTCAGGACTCCTCTTCCCTCACAGTTGGTGCCAGCACACAGAGTGTGTCTCCAAAAAGATGACCTTCAACCTGGAATAAAGGAAACTTGGAGTGGAGCCAAAGCTGCCAGCAGCGGAAGCTTGGGGGGGGCGGGCGGGGGGGGTATCTTTGTTGTAAATCATTGAATACAATGTATCAAAAGCTGACTGATACACCCTGCTGGTGTTACTAAGTTTTGGTCAACGCCAATGAGCCCTACCTACCTTTATCTGTCTAGACCTTGGTTCATGGAATTTCTTCTAACAACTTGTGCCATCACACACGTTGAACCTAAAAGGATTCAAGCTGCATTCAGAGACTGAAGACAGGAATCTAGGTCTTGGAAGATTAATCTAGGTCTTGGAAAGGTACAGAACAAAAATTATATTAAAAAAACCACTAAACCGTTGTTTCATTTCTAAACCTTGGCAAACATAAATCTGTCATTCGGGGACCTAGATGGTTTAGGAATGACTTTCCAGTTCTTTTAACCAGAGTTCACACATTACTGTTCACTGTTCCCTCTTCACCCCCCAGGATGCGGGAACGGAGCGCTGTGTCTTTAAGGGGGACGCGCAGAGGTTTCCGCTCCGGACAAAATGTCTGCGAGGATCCTGGAAGAGACCAACAGTCCAACACGGCCAGCCTCCCTCCCGCCGCGCTCCGGGGATGATGGAGTGAGTGTGGGCCTCGAAGCTGGTGCAGCGAGTACCCAGGGCAAGGCCGGGAACTCCCGGAGGCCGGGTCGGGGGTGTTGCGGTGGGAGGGGGAGCTGGGGTGGCGAAGCCTGCGGGGCACCCCGGGCCTGGGCCGCAGGTGAGCCCGGCCCCCTCAGGCCGCAGCCCCGCGCGCGGGTCACCGGTGTCACCGGTGTCACCGGCTCGCTGTGCCCTGGGTGCGGGCTGCGCGCTTCCTCTGCTGTGCTCAGTTGTCGTTGTTGTTAAAGATGCTTTTGGCCCTGGTTTCTGCTTAATGGCGCCGTTTAATTTCTTCCAGGATCTCGTTTTTCTCCTTCTCTACAGTATCCCCTCAAAAAAGTGACTGCGAGCACCGAAATCGTCTGCTCTCCCTTTGTTAACGTTGACTTGTTACGGTCAGATGCTAAGGGTGCGCACGCACCCGGTTGGGCGCCCTCTCCCTCTAGCGGAGACTAGCTTACTGCTCCCCGCTTGGGGGAGGAGAAGCCGAGGCGAGCCAGCTGCTCCGGCCGGAGCCCTACCCCGCCTCCAGGGCTCACACAAAAGGATTTTCTGATCCTTCCCGGGTGTACGGGCCCAATTTGCTGTAACTACTTACACTAACCAAATGCCTGAAGCTTACCAAGCAAACTTGTTTTTCCCTCCATGAAAGAAAAGAGTTAGTACCTGCTACCTTCCGAACTTCTCATCAGCCCAGACTACAGAGACTGTGTCTTAAGAGAAACTGTTGTAGAAATAGCTTAATACCTTGATATAATTAACGTAATTACTTTTTGCACTTTTCATTATTCGTATACCCTTTTTGGACAAAAATAGATTGAGGCGACCCACAATAAAAAGTATTCAACGATGTGCAAAAAGGCCAAGACCCAAACCAGGTAATCCTCAATTTAAAAATCTTACTGTTACAAAAGCCTTCAAAAGTGCAGCTTAAAATCCCTCTAATTCATATGAAGTTATGCATTTTTACAAGATAAAATGGATTGACACCCTTCTTTTTAGGAACATACATATTAAGTGAAGTAATGAAGGACTGAAATAAAGGTCCACTTTAGAGCAAAACACTTTATAATTTTCATTAAAAATGCATTAATAGAGAATACTTCTGAGCCTTTTAACTAATAGTAGAGTTATCTAAGAGTTCAGCTAATGACATTTAGAGAACATCTCTGATTCACCAAATAAACAGCTGCAGGTCCAGTAAATTTTTTACAGTCTATGTTTAAGCTTTTTCTAAATATTTTCATACTTGACCCTTTATTTGACCCAGATATCCACATCTTACAATTTGGAGGCATTTTTACTTGCTTTTAAATGTCATTACTTGCTTTTAAACTTCAGCCTGGTGATTCCAGACTACTTTTTCTAATTGTATCTCTTTATAAAGAGATTAATACATGGCAGTAAACTAGTATTTCACCATAAGTTGGACAGGTAACATGAATGAATTGTGGTTTCCTTGATACTTCCCTTGTCTAAGCTAATTATTTGTTTTAATTACTATGTTCTGCTTTGATTTAAATTACTGGTGGATAAATGAAATTTTTAGTGTTTTTACACAAGTCTGAGTAGATTTTACATTTGTGAATTTCTTAGCTTAAATCCAGATTCAACCTATACATATTTGTTTAAAACTCTGGTGGATTAATCCAAATGAAGTATTAGCCTTGACAATGGAAGGACAGATAGAGCTGCAATCCATTCTCTACTGCTTTTTGAGAACATTGCCTGGTTCTGTGGCCTTTAGCCTGCGGAATATTTTGTATGTGTACAAGCATTAAGTATAAAATACTGTAGTGAACTTTTATGGGTGGTTTATAGGATGATTCTTAATGTTACAGTCATATAATAAGTATTATCATATTTATATAAATTATTCACTCAGGTTTTGATTTCTTCCCTTATTCTCTATATTAGCATTCAAGGAGAACATACTGAGGAATCTAGGTTTTAATCTGATAGGTTATTAGAAGAATAGAACTTCAAATAGAACTTCAAATGCAAAGGTAATTAATGTAAATTTATTTTCTTCCATAGTCTTAGACTTCTTATTATCTCTTCCAGATAAGGGATTCTTAATGAAACTCACTCACAGGACAATTCAGAGACATGGTACCAGCACTACTACTCTCTCCCCTTCCGTGACATAAGTAAAAACTACTTTTCTTTCCCAACTTGTTTTTCCCCTGAAATTGGGCTGAAGAATTTACACTGTTAATTTCATGCTAGTGGTGCTTTTATTTAGTTTCAAGAAATGTTATTTTAAAATATGAGCTTGGAAGCCTAGCTGTTTGACTAAAAAATTGGAACTATATGAGTCAGCACTAGTGGTAAAGTGTTTATGTGAATTTCGTACCCTGAGGGGGGTGGGGAAGGGAAACGAGGCTGAAGCAGCAGTGCCTGCATGAACATTTGTGTTAGGGCCCCCAAGGCCCACCCCTTCCCCAGTGTGGACACCATGTGATGGAATCCACCCCCCTAAGTGAACCTTTACCACACCTATCATAATTATTGCTGGAAGCATCTCTCACCACCCAATGGTGAGCTTCCAGAAGGCAGGAACTGACTGTGTGGTTATCCTCTTGGCATCCTGGGCAGCAAGCAAACACCTGACCCTGAGCATTTGAATTAAAGAATGGACTGGGTAAATGGATGTGGGCAAAATATTTACATTCATTGGTACCTCTCTGGTAGTTTTAAAACCATTTAAAGAGAAATTAAGGGACCTCTCATTTTTTCCTTTTCTTGTTAACTAACCATCTAGTTCATGGATGTGCTTTCTGTTAAGTACTTGGTAAGGAAGAAATGTGTATCACAGGGCTCCTGCTAACCAGACCTCCCCACCATCTTCTACCTGAGTAACGAGTAACCTATTTTGCATGACAGTCAATTTAGGATGAGAAAATACATTTGGTTGGGGAGGGTCTATGACTCTTTATTTGCTTTTTGTATTAAAAAATCCTCATGAGAATTCTTCCAACTTAAACTACCTACTTATAGTATTGAATAATAGAATGTCAGAGAGAAAAATAACACTGCCTTTAGCCACTAGGACCTAAATGTGGGCATGTTTGTGCAGTAAATATTGATAGCTTCTTGTGTTCATGCCTTGAATTTATATAGCACTGGGAAGTCTAACAATGAGTCACTTGTGTTATCTGATGTCAACCACTAGTTTAGAGGCAGATAATCTTATCTCATCCCTTGACAAAGGGAGATATGGAGATTCAGATGAACTGGATCTAGGAGACAGAGAATTGGGTTTACTGCATTTAATGCAGTGCCCCCTGAGTGCCTGCCCTGTGCCAGGGAGATGGACGAGTGAGGTGGGCTACTCTCCCATGGCATCCTGCAGCTCCTGTGGATATAGGAAATCCTGCTTGGGCAGGGCAGGACACAGCAAACCACCCAAAGCTGAACCCCACTCACTCCATCCCTCCAGGGCCAGATGACACTACTGCCTCAGAGGACTCTTCTCTCCAGCCTCCATAGTTAAGGCTGCCTAGTCCAGCCTGAGCTCACATGCATGAGGAATGTTTTGTAATGTTTATACATTTATGTATAGGTCCTGCTGTATACATATGATACCTAAATGTATACACATGATCACATGTATGCTTTGTACTTTTTTCTTTCCTTTTTATATTTATCTCTAACCCTTCTCCCTCCTTTCACATCAGCTGTCAACCCCACAGTCCAGAATATGTCTTCCTCTGTATCTATCTTTATATGTACATACTTATACAGATCTGCATATTGTTTAATAATAATGAGATCATACATTTAACTTTCTGAAGTTTACTTTTCTCCAAAGAAACTGAACAGTTCCTCCAGAAACCCCTCTAACTCATCTGGCAAAGCTCCAATCCATCCTTTTTAATGGCTGCATAATACTCCCTGCAGTGACCATGTATTATTTACCTGGCCATTCACTGATAGTTATTCCTTTGTTTCCATTTTTTTGTCAAACTAAATAATACTGTATATATATGACTATACACATTAATACTTTTAGTTTTTCAGAAAAAAATCCCATGTGTGGAATTCCTGATTAAATTTATTGTTAAACAGTAGAAATTGCCAGATTGCTTTCCTAAAAGCCTTCATATCTCCACTGGTAATACCCTTTTCTACCCCTCTTCCAGCTTTGTCTGACAGACCTCTTCATGTTTATTACTGTGATGGATCTGAAATGAGATCTTATTATTAGTTTAACAGTACTCCCCTGAATATAAGTGATGTTATGCATCTTTTCACAAGTGTCCTGGCCATTTGACTTTACTCTTAGGTCCTTCACTAACTCAAAATTCTTGACTGTTTTTTAATTGGGTTTTTTGTCTCTTCCTTGTAAGTTTGTATGAGCTCTACATGTATTAGGTTTGTAGCTAAAGAGTCTAAGGCTTCACTTCCAAGCCAAAGTAGTTGACTGGAAGGCTTCTCTCCCTCTGTACTTACAGGGGTTGTTGAAATGAGCTTAGGGACTGTTTAGCAGAGATAGGCAGGTCGTTATTGACGGGCAGTCCCAGACTGCTGGTCTCTCTTTAACTATTGAGTCTGAACAGAAGATTGTACTAAGCCAGAATGTAGCTATGTGCGGAGGACTGAGAAGGTGAGGCAGTTCTGTACCGTGCTGCCTTCCGCTGGTTAAAACCTCCAAGAGAAAAGGCCTACCAAGGCAGAGGATGTCCCTTTGTCACCCTTGGAGGGGCAGTGCTGAGCTGGCCAACATTTGTGGTGCTGCTTGTCCCTGGTTCAGATGTTCTACCAAGTATAAGGATTCACCCATCAAAATCTAACCCTTGTCTCCACCTTCATTCTTACAAAAGATGGTGCCCATGTCTAGGACATGGGCATCCTAGGTTTTGCAGAGGCCCAGACACATCTTGTGGGGAGGTAAAGCATGACAGCAATTGATCAGTCTGGCACTTTTAGGGGTACTCTCAGACTTCGGCACAGGTAAGAGAGTCTGTAGGTTATGTGCAATTTTCAATCCCAGCTCAAGAAAGCATATCAGAATGCAAAGTGATAGTCTTGATATTATAGAAAAACTTTAAATCTCTTTTCTATTCTCTTTTCTATATCCAATAAAAATAGGGATGCATCATACTATTCAGTCTATTTTTATGTATGTCCAATAGTTAAAAAAAGGAAAGCTAAGATTCACATGTAGAAAAAATGCTGTTATAAACAAAGGAAAAAGAAATGTAGAAAAATTTAAGATATAGATGGATAACAAAAAGCATTTCTAAGACTAAAATCTCATTCTTTTTACTAATCATAAGAAAAAAAATAATCCATCCTGACAGGTGTGGCTCAGTTGCTTGGGCATTGTCCTGCAAAGAAAAAGCTTGTCAGTTCTATTCCCAGTCAGGGCACATGCCTGGATTGCAGGTTTGGTCCCAGGTTGGGGCACATGCCAGAGGCAACCAATCTATGTTTCATTCTCACACTGATGTTTCTCTCCCTTTCTTTCTCCCTCCCTTCCTCTCTCATAAATAAATAAATAAATAAATAAATAAATTTAAAAAATGATTCTTGCAGTGGTCTCTAACTCCTCTCCCTATTCCTCTACTCCCATTTTTGGGACTTTAGTAAGTCAATAAATCTCTTGGGGGAAATCTAGCCTTTAATTTCTAAAGAGCTTTTATACTAATCGATCATCATGAGTAACCATATTCAAATCAATGCCTATTGTATCAGAAGACATGTAACTTGCTGTTTCTTTTATTAAAAGAGACCTGGTACTTATCTTTTTGGCTGATTCTTGTAAATTCATCTTTTTTCAAAATTCGAGAAAGATATTAAATGCCATGACTGATCCTAAGTAGACTTGCTTAATGGGAAAAGAAATAATGAGGTTTAGTAAGTGGTAATTCATCTGTAATAAGGCTATTAGCAATTGAATTAAAATCTTAAAGTAAATCATATTGATACAGCAACTTATTTCTCCTGTTCCCATCCTTGTCTTCAGTCATTCATCATTGCATTTAATAAGAGAGATTCTGAAACATTATCATGTCACTGCTGCTGGTTCAAACCCTGACAATATGAACGAGCATTAGCTACCTCCCTGTGCAGCATTCTCCCACCTTGGCCTTGACTTCACCCCTGAAATAAGTTCTCAGATGAGTTCCAATAGCCTGTCCTGTGTTCTCTCACTGTCTTTACACTTTCAAATCAAGTCTGTCTGGAATCATGCATTTGGTCCTTTGTGAGGTTATTTCCTAAGGAATAAACTTCACCTTTCCTATCCCCCCTTGTGTGATGGGTTATTGCAGTGGTAAATTGTTTTCCTAATGGAAAAGACTTTGCAGTGATGGTCACCGCATAGTGTTTGGATCCCTTTAACACAGATATTTTGTTGGGCAAAGCAAGAGGCTATTCTTTTTCTTTACTTTTTTTTCTTAATTAAAAGTGTTGACCAAGCTATGTATCTTTCAAATACATAGAGAGGGGGCCAGTGAGTTGGGATGAGCAATGTGGAAAATTAATTTTATTTGCTGTATGACTCAAACACTTACTTAGAGGGTCTGAAAAAGCAAACACTAGAAGAACATGGTGCTAAGCAGTGTTTCTAGTTTCTATCTTTAGGCTGTTTAATTGAATTTCTTTTACTCAGCTGCCTGTCCTCTGAATTTACTCCTAGTACTGCAGATCATTCTTCAAAGCTCAGAGCTAAGGCTATAGTGTTTCTGCCTGAGAACTTGGGTTGGCTGGAAACCCTGAGGCAATGACAGGGACCTCAGTGCCCTTGGGACATGGCCCACCAACTAATTTAAAGGTAAAAGTTTAGAAAGTTGCTTTGTATATTGTTATTTCCTAAATGTGCAAATTTAAAAATATTTTAATGGCTTTTAGTACTGTCAATTTTCTCATAAACATTGTTTTTCAAATCACAAAATGGTACACCTGAAACTAATACAAAATAATATTGAATATAAATTGTAATTGAAAAATAAAATTTAAAGTTCTTTTTTTAAAAAAATCACAAAATGAAGACAGTTTTATCTTGAAAGAAGTACCCTGTTGAAACTATTAAAAGGCTGTTCACTACTGGTACTTTCACCCCTGAAGTTTAAGAAACTAATTTTCCACTCCTAAAACTTTTTTCCTGCTTACTTCTAAAGTTTACTGTGCAACACTGAAAGGAAACTACAAAAGGGAACCTTGCTCTTATTCTGAAAAAAAAATTATCTTTTTAATAGGAGATCAGAAGAGACTAATTAAAACTAATATATATATAGCAGACTTCCAGTCAAGATGGAGGAATAAGATAAATGCTATGCTCACCCCCTTTCATGACTATATCAGAATTACAATTAAATTATAGAACAGCCATCACTGAGAACCATCTGAAGATGAGCTGAACAGAAATTTTATCACTAAAGGTACATAGAAGAGGCCACAATGAGACTGGTAGGAGGAGTAGAGACATGAAGCAGGGAGGATCCACACGAATGGCGTGGCAATTAAGAATCTAGAAGAATATCTCAGTTTCAGAGATCTCCTGTGAGGAGCAAGGGGTTCCAGCCACACAGTGAACTCCCCGGTCAAGTACACCAGCCCCGGAAAGAGGAGATCCCACAACATCCTGCTCTGAAAATCAGTGGGAACTACAGCCAAGAGGGATGTGGAACTTCTGGAGACTCAAGCATCCTCTCAAAAGGCATATGCACATATTCACTCACTCATAAACTCACTTGTTATGGGCTCCAGTGCAGGATCAGCAGCCCTTAAAATGCTAGAGACACACAGGGAAAAACTAAATTGACTAGCTTCGGGGCAAGGGCTCAGGTCAGGGGTCAGGGCAGCTCTCTCCAGGATGGAAGTGCTGTCGGGCACCATTGTTCCTTGGTTGAGCAATCCTCCCACCAAGCCTACAGGTGCAGGCAGGTACCAAATCTGTGATCTCTATGAACCTGGCTAACACCGCCCAGACCTGGTGATTCCCTGAGATGCCACCGCACCTAAGCCACCTGAGCCACATCCAGTGACTTTTTCACATGAGTGGGCTGCCTTGGCTCATACTGTGAAGTTTCCTGAAATTTCTCAAAGATCTACAAAACCCAAACAAACAGCAGCTGGCCTCGGTGTGCTTCTCTACCTCTTGCTAAGTGGCCCCAAGCCCAGCACAAAAAGCAACTGGTCTCAGCTTGCATTGTAACTCTTCCCATCATGTGACCCCAATCCTGGTATAAGCTTCAGCCAATATTTGGAACATAGCTTCAGCTTAGGGGCCACAGCCTGGAAAAAGTGGTGGCTGACCTCAACTCAAATGTGGTGTCCACCAAAGGGTCCCAAGCCCAGTACTACTGGCAGCTGGCCTCAGTTCACAGCATAGCCTCTCCCAAGCATGCCCAAGCCAAGCACAAGTAACAGCTAATCACAGATCACTTTGTAGCTCCCACCAGACATCCCCAAGCCTGGCATAAATGGCAGCTGATCTTGGCCTGCACCAGAGTCCTCCCAAGAGGCTCCAGCACCAACACATGGTGCCTGGTTTCAGACCACACAAAGAACTACCCATGCAACTCCACAAACAACATATCCCAAGGGCAGACTCAGCTGGCACCGGAGCCACACTAAAGTGACTCCCACTCCATGGGGTCAGCCCCCACACAAGAGCTTGTCCACTGTGGTCATGGCCAGCCCTCACAGCCTGATGGTCAGTTCCACCCACTGACATGCCACCAGCAATCAAGGTTCACTACAACAGGAGGAAACACACAGCCTGCACCAAGGGACATGCCTGCAGTGCCAGCTCAGGGGGCCAGGGAGGCTGCAGCACTGGTGCCCACAGGACACCTACTACATAAGGCCACTATGACAAGACTGGGAGATGCAGCAGATCTATATACACAGAAACAAGCACAGGGAGTCAGCCAAAATGAAAAGACAACAAGACATGTTCCAAATGAAAGCACAGGACAAAACTCCAGAAAAATATCTAAACAGAATGAAGACAAGAAGTCTATTACATACAGAATTCAAAACAGGAGTTATAAGGATGCTCAGTGAACTTAGGGAAGAATAGATGAACTCGGTGATAACTTCAAAAAAGAGATGGAAACCATAAAAAAGAACCAATCAGAAATGAAGGAATCAATGGCAGGATAGATGAAGCAGAGGACTGAATCAGCAGTCTGGAAGACAAGGTAGCAGGAAAACAATCAGAATAGCAAAACAGAAAAAAAAGAATCCCGCCCCCCACCAAAGTGAGAACAGTTTAAGGGACCTCTAGAACAACATCAAGCATACTAATATTTGCACAATAGGAATACCAGCAGGAGAAGAGAGCAAGGAATTGAAAACCTACTTCAAATAATAATGACTGAAAACTTCCCTAATCTAGTGAAGAAAATAGACATACAAGTCCAGGAATGCAGAGAGTTCCAAACAAGATGAACCCAAAGAAACCCACATCAAGACACATCATAATTAAAATGTCAAAGATTAAAGACATACAGAGAATCTTAAAAGTAGCAAGAAATAAGCAGTCAGATACCTACAAGGGATCACCCATAACACTGTCAACTGATTTCACAACAGAAGTCCAGAAGGAATTAGCACAAAATTTTCAAAGTGATTAAAAAAACAAAAAACCTACAACTAAGATTACTCTACCCAACGAGGCTATCATTTAGAATTGAAGGAGAAATGAAGTTTGCCAGACAAGAAAAAAACTAAAGGAGTTCACCACCACTACACCAGCATTACAAGAAACGCTAAGGGGACTTCTATAAGTAGAAAAGGAAAAATCTAAAATATGAATGAGAAAATATAGGAAAGAAAAATATTTTCACTAACAAACAGTAAAAGCAATGGATCAAACAACTCTAAAGCTAGTACTAAGGTTACAAAGCAAAAGTAGGGAAAATGTGTATTTATAATAGTAAATTAAGGGATACCTGCACACACACAAAAGAAGTAAAAAATAATGACAAAAACAAGCATGGAGGGGTGAGTATAAAGTGAAGTGATTTTAGAATGTGTTTGAACTTAAGCAACCATCAACTTAAAATTGACTGCTATGGAGTTGCCCAAAAGTTCATTTAGTTTTTTCATATTATGGCTCTAGTAGTACTTAGTGGTCTTTAACTTCATTCAAAACGATTCTGTTAGACTGTATTGTGACAGCTGTCATATCAGTGTGAATTTAAAAAGAAACATCAAAATTGGTGAATTTTTGTGCAGCCATTTTAATATTGAAGATGGAAGAAAATAAGTGATGTTTTCAGCGTATTATGCTTTATTATTTCAAGAAAGGTAAAAATGCAGCTGAAACACACACAAAAAAACATTTGTGCAGTGTATGGAGAAAGTGCTGTGACTGATCGAATGTGTCAAAAGTGGTTTGCAAAGTTTCTTGGTACTATTAGTATTTTAGCCAAATAATTCTTTGCTGTGGGGCTGTCTTATGCATTGGAAAATGTTTAGTAGCACCCCTGGCCTCTATCCACTAGAAGCCAATAGTGGGAGACAGCTGACATACTCAAAATATCCAAATCAATAAAGTTATTGGTGAAGATAAAAAATGTGTCTTTTATTTATGGAAAAAAACTAAACAGACTTTTTGGCCAAGCCAACATAAGCATAGCTTGATATATATGATAAACACATGATATCCATGAACCAAAAATCTGCAAGAGAGAGAGAGAATGGAATCCAAATATTATAACACTATAGAGAGTCATCAACATGCAAGAGAATAGGAAAGGAACAGAGAACTACAAAAACAATCAGAAAACAATTAAAATGGCAATAGCTACATGCCTATCAATAATTACATTAAATTTAAATGGACTAAATCCTCCAATTAAAAGGCATAATGTGACTAAATGGATTATAAAAAAACCAAGACCTGTACCAATGCTGACTGTAAAAGCCCATTTTAGATTGAAAGACACACACAAACTCAAAGTAAAGGGATGGAAAAACATATTTCATGCAAGTGGAAATTTTTTTAAAACTGGGGTAACAATACTTAGACAAAATACACTTAAAACAAGGGCTGGGATAAGGGATAAAGAAGTGCAAATGCATCTCATGATAAAGGGATCAATCCAACAAGATAATATAACTCTTGTTAATATTTATGCACCCAACACAGGAGCACCTAAACATATAAAGCAAATGATGGACCTAAGGGAGACATCAACAGTAATACAGTAATAGTAGGGGACTTCAACACGCCATTGACATCAATAGGTAGGTCATCCAAACAGAAAATCAACAAGAAAACAGTAGCCTTAAATGATACATTAGACAAGATGAATATACATTCTTTTCAAGTGCACCTGAAACATTTCTTCCAGGATAGACCACATGTTAGAAAATACTACAAACAATTATATGCCAACAAATTGGACAAATTTGAAGAAATGGGTAGCTTCTTGGAAACATACAACCCTCCATGGATGAATCAGGAAAAAAGACAAAATCTAAAGACACTGATAACTGCTATTGAAATCAAACCAGTAATTAACAAACCCCCAACAAACAAAAGCCTCTGACCAGGTGGCTTCACAGATGAATTTTATAAAACACTCAAAGAATTAATACCTAGCCTCAAAATATTCCATAAAACTGAAGAGGAGAGAAGCCTCCCAAATTCATTTTATAAGAACAGTACAATCCTGATACCAAAACCAGACAAAGACACTTAAAAAACAAAAAAGAAAATTATAAGCCAATATCCCTGATGAACATAGATACAAAAATCCTCAGCAAAATATTAAAAAGATTATACACCATGATCAATTAGGATTTATTCCTGGGATGTAAGCTTGGTTTAGTAGCTACAAATCAATTAACATGATAAACCACATAAAAATGAAGAGTAAAAATTGTACAATCATATCAATATATGCAGAGAAGTATTTTGTCAAAGCATTTGACAAAATCCAACATCCATGTATGATCAAAACTTTCAGCCAAGTGAGAATAGAGGGAATACACCTCAACATAATAAAGGCCATATATGACAAATCCATAGCTAACATCATTCTCAATAATGAAAAGCTAATAAAAGTGTTTTCGTTAAGATCAAGAACATGACAAAGATGTCCCTTTTCACCACCTTTACTCAACATAGGAGTGAAAGTCCTAGCCATAGCAATTGACCTCCCCTAAAAAAAGGCAATAAAGGCATCCAAATTGGAGAGGAAGAAGTAAAACTATCATGTGCAGATGACATGATACAATATACAGAGAACCCTAAAGGTTCCACTAAAAATCTATTAGAACAAATAAATGAATTCAGTAAAATAGCAGGATACAAAATTAATTTTCAGAACTGAATTGCATTTTATAGACCAATGACAAACTATCAGAAAGAGAAATTAAGGGATGAACCCATTTACAATTACATCAAAAAGAATAAAATACCTAGGAATATATTTTTAATCAAGGAGGTAAAAGACATATACATGGAAAATTATAAAATATTAAAGAAAGAAACTGAAGAAGATACAAATAAATGGAAGAATATACAGTGCTCATGGATTAACACAATTAAAATGTCCATACTACCCAAAGCAATATACAGATTCAATGCCATCTCTATCAAAATACTAATGACAGTTTTCATAGAAGCTGAACAAAGAATGCTAAAACTTACATGGAACCACAAAAGACCCCAAATAGCCAAAGCAATCTTGACACAAATAAACGAAGTTGGAGATATCACATGACCTGATATCAAACTATACTGTAAGGCCATAATAATCAAAGCAGCATGGGACAGGCATAAAAACCAACACATGGATCAATGAAACAGAATAGAGAGCCCAGAAATAAACCCAAGCCTATGTGGTTATTTAATACACGACAGCAGAGAAAAAATATACAGTGGGGTAAAGATAATCTATTCAATAAATGGTGTTGGGAAAACTGGACATATACATGCAAAAGAATGAAACTGGATCACTTTCTTACACCATACCCAAGAAAAAAATCAAAATGGATTAAAGACTTAAATGTAAGACCTGAAACTATAAAACTCTTAGAAGAAAACTTAGGCAGTAAACTCTCTTAACATAGCTTTTAGTAATTTTTTTTATATGTCTCCTTGGGAAAAAGAGAAACAAAAGAAAAATAAACATATGAGAGTACATCAAACTAAAAAATTTTACACAGTGATGGAAATCATCAACAAAACAACAAGACAACCTACTGAATGGGAGAAGATACTCACAAGATACATCCAATAAGGGGTTAATACCCAAAAGATATAAAGTACTTATACAAATTAACACACACAAATGCACAAAATCCAACTGAAAAATGGTTAGAGGACATGAACAGACATTACTCCAAAGAGGACATACAGATGACCAATAGACTTACGAAAAGATGTTCAACATCACTAATCATCAGGGAAATGCAAATTAAAACCATACTGAAATATGATCACACCCCTATCAAAATGGCTATCATCATAAATAAACAAATAACAAGTGTTGGTGAGGATGTGAAGAAAAGGGAACCCTTGGTACATTGTTGGGACTGTAAATTGGTGCAGCTACTATGGAAAACAGTATGGAGGTTCCTCAAAAAATATTTTAAAAAAGAACTACAATATGACCCAGCAAGTCCACTTATGGGTATTAATCCAAAGAACTCCAACACACTAATTCAGAAAGATATACACATCCTTATGTTTATTGCAGCATTATTTACATTAGCCAAGATATGGAAGCAACCTAAGTTTTTGACCATGGACAAGTAAATAATGAAGAGGTGGTACATACACAGGGTGTGACAAAAGTAGATTTACAGTTGTGAGTACATGGGATGTGGAATTTATTGTGGTATTATTTATTAATTATTGTATTATTTTCCATGTGAACAACTATAAACCTACTTTTGCCCCACCCTGTATACAACAGAGTATCACTCAGCCAGGAAAAATGAAATTTTGCCATTTGTGACAACATGGATGGACCTAGGGGATATTATGCTAAGTGAAATGTCAGAGAAAGACAAATAACATATGATTTCAATGATATGTGGAATCTAAAGAACAAAATAAACAAAACAAACAGATACAGATAACTTTTTTTTCAGAGAACATTTTTGTGGTTGCAAAGTGGGAGGGGAGTTGTGGAGATGGGTAAAAAAGGGGAAGGGATTAGGATGTGCAAATTGCTAGTTACAAAAACAGTGACAGGAATATAAGGTACAACATGCAGAATATAGTCAACAATATTGTAATAACTATGCATGGTGTCAAGGTGGGGGTATTCAGGCTGCTCACTTCCCAAGTTATAAAAATGCCTACTCACTATGTTGGACACCTGAAACTAATATAATATCGTATGTCAACTTTAACCAAAAAATAAACAAATTTTTAAACTAATGGATACTTATAGCACTTACATAGCTAGTTCTTTCCATTTAAGAAGCTCGGATTCCCAATTTTAGTGTCAGTAGTCGTTAGCTTGGGACCCATGTCTAAGAGCATTCTTAGTTAAGAAAGGAGGGCTGACCACTTTTAACATTTTTTTTCTGAGGAATCAATAATAATACTGAAAAAGGAAACCCAGGTATCTACCGAAAACTAACTGTAGGATTTTTACTTGTAATAAAGGGAGGTATGATTTCTTCACAGGCTAACTATAATCGTAGAAGTTGTTTGCGTGGTGTATATCTCTCTCTACATAAAATTTGTTGTTCTTACCTCTTCTCCTCTCTGTATGCAGATGCTGCAAAGAGGATGAGGAGGGACGAACTGGTGGTGACCATGGAAGAGACGGGTGGGCAGGACGATGCAGCTGCGCTGGGCAGCCCTTTTCCTGGCCTGGAGCCAGCGCCTGCCAGCCGCCTGGGGGCACCATATTCCGAGGCCTGGGGTTACTTTCACCTGGCCCCGGCCCGCCCTGGACAGCCGTCTGGCTACTGGGCCACCTGCCGGCTGTGCGGGGAGCAGGTGAGCCGAGGCCCGGGCTTCCACGCGGGCACCCCGGCGCTGTGGAGGCACCTGAAGAGCGCACACCGGCGCGAGCTGGAGAAGAGCGCCGCACGCCGTTCACCGCCGCCCGCGCCCAGCCCTGCTGCGGCCGCAGAAGGCGACTGGGCACGCTTGCTGGAGCAGATGGGCGCGCTGGCCGTACGGGGAAGCCTGCGAGAGCGCGAGCTGGCACGGCGCGAGGCAGCCGTGGAGCAGGGCGAGCGCGCCCTGGAGCGGAGGCGCAGGGCCCTGCTGGAGGAGGAGCGAGCTGCGGCCCAGGCGCGGCGGGAGTTACAAGCCGAGAAGGAGGCGCTGCAGGCACGGCTGCGAGAACTGAGCCGTCGGGAAGGAGCCTCGACCACGGCCCCCCTGCAGACTCCTCTCAAAGAGGAGCCCGAGGGGGAGAGGGACAGCTACACCATCACTAAGGTCCAGCTCTAGGTTTGGGCCGCTCCCGCCACCCCATGCCAGCGCTACCCCAAGTGTGGTCCGCGGACCAGCGTCTTCAGCCTCACCCGGGAGCTGAATTTCAGCCCGCTGCCTCCCAGTGAATCAGAATCTCCAATGGGCGGCCTTGAAAAGCACTTCTGAGGCCTGAACAAAACCAAAAATCACTCCTACTCTGGGGTCGCCTGGGGTGCCTGGGAGCGCAAGCTCCAGCGGCTCCCTTTGCTGTTGGCATTTAGTGGGCATCGTGCATGGAGCGGTTTCCCTCCAAATGCCTTTGGGAATGATAGATCCAGCAGCCCGTAGAACCTAAATCTTCCATGGCCTTCTACCTGGTGACTCTGAAAGGACAGAAGCTTTCTTACAAGCCAAAGACTACCACACCACGTGCCTGTACACCAGCCGGGACAACCCAGGGTGCAGGGTCCGTGGAAATAATGGTAAAGCATTTTATCCGAAAGGAAGAGTTTTAATCATTTCCTAACGAGTAAATCTTTGATGAGCAATCTTGGCCCAGTACCAAGTTCAGAAAAGAGGACCCACTCAGTTTCCACGACTGCCCTTTACCCTTATGATCTCTTGTGCCTCTGCAGGGCAGTCCTGAGAAGCCCTCTGTTTACTCTCCTCCCCGGTCTGCACAATACCAAGTGCACCTTGGTCTATTTCATCTCAGCCGCCTTTTATCTGGTTTCAGACCCATCCGCAGCTATGGTCAGTGTCTCCACGTTCTGCCTCACACCTGCCTCATTACCAGGAAAACACGACTTTATCCTTCATTGCTAGGAAGAGCACTTCCTTCCCCACCCGACGGCACAGTGCCCACTTTTGGGTCAAAGAAGGCATCCTTCCCACCTGAGGCAACCTCCTCCTATGTTTACATCCATTCCTTTTCCACCTTCACTGGCTCTTTGCTCCATTAGTGTTCCTCTGTTTCTCTTATTCCCTCCCTTTCTCCAGGCTTCCTCTTTCTTGGAAATGCCCAGTTTCCCTTGCATTGAAAAGAAAGACTTCCGCAGCCTGGACACTCTCAGCTGAACCACCATCCAAGGAGGTGGTCCTTCCTGCCTATTCTTCCTCCCTGTTCTTTGTCTCCTCCATTCCATGGTCAGCTTTCCATGCTACACTGGACTCTTCAGAAGCCACCTCAATCCCCCAGTGGCTAAATATAATGATTTATTCAGACTTCATTTTGCTTAATCTCTCCCTTTGTGAAATTTCTCCTTCAGTAGGGGGAACCTACTTTTCCTCTAGAGAATTCTTTTTCATGATACAATGATTTCTAAATGACTTTTACATTTCTAAATGATTTTTCTTAGGTCTATTTTTTCCTCATTTTTTTATATACTGAAAAATTTCAGGCATCCAGAAGTAGTTGAAAGGCTAGTGCAATGAATATCCATATCTACTCTCCACCTCAACTCAACAATTAACATTTTGCCATATTTACTTTTTCTCCCCTCCACCCCATACATACCTGACATTTCATCCCCAAGTATTTCAGTATGTATCTGCTAAGAATAAAGACATTGTTCTACATGATTACAGTGCAATTACCATACCTAAGAATATAAACAATTTCCTAACAGCCTCTAATGTAAAGTCCTTAATCAGAATTCCCCAATTGTCTCAAGAAAGTCTAATCTTTTTTAAAAATAGGCTCCAAAGTTAATATATTACTTTTGATTATAACCCTTTTATAATCTCTTTTAGTCTAGAACACCCTCCTTACTACTTTCCCTTGACAGTTTCGAGTCCCAGCCATCTGTCTTATAGAATGTCCTACATCTGTATTTGTTTGCTTAGGCCAGTTTCTGCACTCATTCTTAGTTCATTTACCTGTAAGAGCTGCATTAATCACCTCTGGGCCCTTGGCTCCTGAACGCTTCCAGCATTGTGTCCTCCCCCCCCTCCCCGCCCCCCGCCCAAACCCTGGCCTGTCCTTCATGTCTAATCCCTGCTCCATTTCTACTTGCAAAACTGCCACTACAGATGGAAACAGCAAATCTATTCAGTGCCACATCCCCACTCCTCATCTCTCCTGAACTCTTAAAATGTATCAGGTACATACATACTTTACATGAATTATATTAGTCTCATAGAGCTCCACAAGGAGGTACTAATATTGGGTTGGCCAAAAAGTTCACTTGTTTTTTCCCGTAAGATGGCTCTAGTGGTACTTAGTTGTCTTTAACTTCATTCAAAACAATTTTTTTAGATTGTATTATGAAAGCTGTCATATCAGTGTGCATTTTTTTAAAACTTAGCAAATTGGTTTTTGCGTAGTCATTTTAATATTGAAGATGGAAGAAATATACAACATTTTAGGTGTATTATGCTTTATTATTTCAAGAAAGGTAAAAACACAACTGAAACATACAAAAAGATTTGTGGAGAAGGTGCTGTGACTGATCGAACATGTCAAAAGTGGTTTGCAAAGTTTCATGCTGGAGATTTCTCTCTGAACAATGCTCCACAGTCAGGTAGACCAGTTGAAGTTGATAGCAATCAAATTGAGACATTGAGAACAATCAACGTTATACCATGCAGGAGATAGCCAACATACTCAAAATATCCAAATCAGTGAAGTTATTGGTGAAAATGAGAAATGTGTCTTTTCCAGAAAAAACTAAAAGAACTTTTGGCCAACCCAATACTACGCCTGCTTGACAGCTAAAGAAACTGACATAGAGAGGAGTTAAGTAGTTTGTACAAGAACCCAGCTGTTAAGTAGCAGAGCTGAGATACAAATCCAGTCTTTACCTCCAGATGCCAGGCTCCTAGCTGCTGTAATGTCTCCCTTATTACTCAGTCACCTGGCTGACACACCTGTTTCCTTCCTAACTCCAATTTCAGGTAGAACCATCAGAGACATTAGGAGGAACTAAACATTCACCGTGTGCCAGGGCCATGCTAAATGCTTTACAAGAATAACTGTCTATCCCGCAGCAGCCCCATGACATAAGTGCTCTTATGCCCATTTTGCAAAGGAAGAGACAGGCTCAGGGGAGCTAAGTAATGTCTTCGGAGTCACACGACTACTAAGAGACAGAATGGGACCTGAACTCTGGTCTTGCAGAATCCTAGACCACTAAGCTACTGAGTCTATTTCTACAAAATATCACACGTGTCTTCCTTAAGATGCCATCTGTCAAACTCAGGCCCCATTTATCAGTCATCTGGGGTTCATCTTCCTGTCCTTGTCCTCCTCGACTGTCCCCTACCTGACACTCACCTGGGCCAGAAGAACTGTACTAAGCCAATGCTGGTATCACTTTTCCTGCCCAAAAGCCCCCCAGGATCACCTATTACCTACAAACTTCAACTTTGTGGCCTGACCTCCAAATCCACCCACCGCGACCAGGCTCAGGTGTCCCTCCCCTACATGTTCTCCAGCCAAATTGGACTCCGTGTTCTTCCTGACATGCCCTAGTCTCCGTGCCTCTCTGCTTCTGTTCACCCTCCCTCTACTTAAAAATCTCTTTAACCTTTGAGTATGAAAAATCCACTCATTTTTCTAAGATCAAGCCCAAATTTGACTGCCTGCATAAAGCTTTCCTTGGTAACTCCCTGTTTACTGATGATTCATTACTTCGCTGGACTCTTACAACATTTTACATCTCACAACCTTTAGAACAGTCCATCTAGCACATGGCTAGGTGGGTTCTCTGCCAGACCCTGAGCCCTTGGGGTTCAGTCATCCTACGCCTGCAATGCCTTGCATAAAATAGCTGCTTAATAAATATTGGAGGCATCAAATCCACTCAATGTGTTTAAAATTTTTATGGGTTAGTTTTCTCATAATTATTAATATAACTATTCATTTAATCCTCTGAGTAGAATTCATAACAAAAAAATCTAAAATGAAATTGCAGTAATGATTTTTTAAGCTGCCTAGTCAGTAAAAATTAATTAGTATCAGTTATTGGGCTGTTTGATTTGAATACAATCAACTACTCTAGCATGTTATCATCAGGAATGTTTTTCTTAAAAATTTTTTTTTCATTACTAAAGTGATACAAATGCAGTGCCCCAATCTGGGGAGAACAGCAGGAAAAACAACAACCTCACACAGTCCTGTGAACTTGGTAAAACTGCTAATCACATGTTTATGCATTTTATTCCTCCTTTGCAATTTTCACATTACGCTAATAGTAAAAGTTATTTTTCTTAAGTACTAACATTTAACTTCTTTATGTGGATTTATAAGTTTGACTGTAAGATCTGAATTTGGACTTCTTAGGATGGAAAAAAACCTTTTACAAATGTCACTCTTCTATTGGGTTGGCCAAAAAGCTCATTTGGTTTTTTTCCATAGATGGTTCTAGTAGCAGTTAGTTACCTTTAACTTCATTTGAAACAATTTTGTTAAGATTGTATTGTGAAAGCTGCCATATCAGTGTGCATTTTTAAAAAACTTACCAAAATTGGTGAGTTTTTATGTAGCCATTTTAATACTGAAGATGGAAGAAAATGCAACGATTTGGGCATATTATAATTTTTTATTTCAAGAAAGGTAGAAACACAACTACAATACACACAAAAGATTTGTGCAGTGTATGGAGGAGGTGCTGTGACTGATCGAACGTGTCAAAAGTGGTTTGGGAAGTTTCATGCTGGAGATTTCTTGCTGGATGATGTTCCGTGGTTGGGTAGACCAGTTGAAGTAGAGAGCAATCAATTGGAGACATTAATTGAGAACAATCAATGTTTATACCATAAGGGAGATAGCCGACATTATCAAAATATCCAAATCAATAAAGTTATTGCTGAAAATGAAAATAGTATCTTTTTGTTTTACGGAAAAACTGTATGGACCTTTTGGCCAACCCAGTATTTCATCATTGTTAGAACCATTAAAATAAGCAAAGATTCACTTTTGGAATCTTAACCACTCCCTCAATAAAGGCAGCTAACGAGAATAGCTGTTCAGGGACAGGTGGCGGGGTGGGCAGGGTGGAGAACACTCAGCCTGACTGATGCTTGCTGGCTATGGGAGGTAAGGGAAGGCATCTACTTTCTACTTTATACAACATGGCAATTTCATAATAGAGTATAAAATTACTTATATTTCACAAATGAAGAACCCTCACCATTAGGCTTCCTCAATTAAAATAAAATCTCCAACACAAGGATTGATATAATCCCCACTTCCAGAAAAGCCTAGGACATGTAGCCCTTATCTAGTCCAACCCCATCATTTGACAGAGAAAAATGAGTCCCAGGGTGCCTTGTCCAGTACCAGGAGATAGTGGCCATTACAGCTCACATGGCTCCAGCCTCCTGAACAGTATTCTGCCTCCTTGGCTGTGAGTGCTCTATTAGCAAAGCACAGTAACCACCAGGACCAACCAGCTGAGCTGGCATCTCAATGTCGACTAAACGGTGGGACTGGGGAGTGCCCAGGTGGGTTCTGAGGGTTGCTTTGGTCTCTCTGGCTGTGGCCTTATCTGCTCACAGAGTTGTAACTACTGATGGGTGATAGTGGCATGCCTCACCTATAGCAGCAAGGCTTCCCTGATTTATGTGCCTGGGCTTGCCAATGGCAGCACCCAGGTGCTGCCTTTGAGAGCAATGCATGTTCCAGGTGGATGGCTGGAACTGGGATGTAGACTGCCCTGAACCCAACTCAGCTCCTGCCCCCATGCCACTTTGGGTTGAAATTTGGCATGGAGAGGGGGCGTGGGTACAGCAGGGTAATGACAACCAAGCTTGAAACAGTTAGGGTCCTTTAGGCACCTAAGTTTGTCATTCTTGGGAGTTGGAGAAGAAAAGGGTTTGGCTTGGTTTGGGCTGAGTTTCTACTTTAAATAGATGTCCATGTCTTTAATATTTCAGACTAGATTCTGAAACACTGGGCTTTGTTTTGCTGCCCTGGAGTCATTAGGGAATTCTATTTCTAAGGGTTTAAACTTGTTGCCTTTCCACAACTGAACTCTGTTCCTTTGTCTGGGAAATGGATGAGGTGACTGTTAAGGTCCCTTTTGACTTTAATATGCTATGATGACATGAAATACAGTGAAACATCAATTGACCTCTGAGTGAATCAGTTGTTCTGTTCAATTGGATTTTCTTGTCAACTACAGATTTAGAAGAAAATGGTGAAAGTCACACATGCATGCTTATTATTAAAAATAGTAATTGTGTATCAAGCTGCTTCTTCCACAGCACTGAGGTACTGATTCTCTCAGATGCATACTTGGAAGTGAAACGTGTGTAGACTGCTACACACGTGATCAGCATGCTCTCCCGCAGTATACTCTTTTGTGCTCACAACACCGCAGGCAGGGCAGGCATAAATGTCCTCATTTTACAAATGAGGCCCCACTCTTCAACAAGGCCAAGTGGCCTGCTGAGGACCACACAGCTAGCAAGGAGCAGACTGGAGCGAGCCTGGAGCTCCATCCATGGATCCCAGTCATATCTGGGGCCAAACAGTTAAGCTTCCTTCCAGGCCTCCCTTCTGGCCCATCTCTTCATCAGGGCTAGGACTTCCAGGTCCTGGCCTGAGTGCCTGCCGACACTTGGGTCACTGGTGGCTATTCCCCCCCACGAGCCCTAGTGCTGGGTGCCAGCCAGCTTTCCCTGCGGAAGCAATACTGGCCTCTATAAGTTTCCTGTTGCTGTTGTAACAAATTACCACAAATTTTGTGGCTCAAAAACAACATAAATTCCTGGCTGGCGTAGCTCAGTGGATTGAGCGTAGGCTGCAAACCGAAGTGTCACAGGTTCGATTCCCAGTCAGGGTACATGCCTGGGTTGCAGACCATGACCCCCAGCAACCTCACATTGATGTTTCTCTATCTTTCTCTTTCTCTCTCCCCCCCTCCCTTCCCTCTCTAAAAAATAAATAAATAAAATCTTAAAAAAAACACATAAATTTATCTTACAGTCTGCAAGTCAGGAAATGGATCTCAAAGTGCTGGCTCTTTCTTAATGCTCTGAGAGAATCTGTTTTTTGCCTCTTTTTAGCTTCTAAAGCACGAGGTTTCCCACATGCATTGGCTTGTGGCCCCTTTCATCTTCAAGGCCAGCAAGGGCCAGTCCTCACATTGCATCACTCGCTCTCCCTCTTCTGCATTAAAAGAACACTCTCCTAACCTTACGGTTAGGATTAATATGTTAATTCTCCCCTGCCAGGTAACACATGGAAAGCTTCGGAGGATTAGGACACAGATGGAGAGAGGGCGGTGACTCTGCTTACAGCAGCATCAGACTGCCTGGCGCAGGCCTGGGGAG